GGATGCAAATCTTTGTGGGAGCAGAAAACCTAATCATTCTCCCCAAATTTCTGTTACAACACCAAATAATGAGGACAAATACATTTTTTCTTATCTTTTTTTGAACTATTTGAAAGTAAGTCATCCCCTTTGCCCTTAAGCACTTCAGGTATATTTTCCAAGGACATTCTCTTATACAATCACAGTACAATTATCGAAATTAAGAAATTTACCACTGATGTTATACCATTGTTGTTGTTAAGTGCTATAGAGTCAGTTCTGACCCATAGCGACGCTGTATAGGGTTTCCGAGGAACAGCTAGTGAATTTGAACCACGGACCTTGCAGTTCAAACCGACTTTGCAGTCTAGCACATGAACACACAACGCTATACTATCTATTTTCAGAATGCCCCAATTGTTCCAAGAACGTCCTTTGTATGTTTTCTGAGGGAAGAGGGAGGAACCCAGAATCCAATCAGGATCATATACTGCATTTTGTTTCCTTTCATTTAGGCACTTTCTGAGCCTCTCTGGGTGGGATTTCGCAACAATGACCCTTTTGAAGAGTCCAGGCCAGTTGTTTTGCAGAATGTCCCTCGATTTGGATTTATCTGGTTGTTTTCCTGTGATTGGACTCAGGGTAAGCATGTTTGGCATGCATACTACCTAGTCGATGTCATGGCCTTTCCTTAGGGGCACATGTTTACAATGTTCGGTTTGATCATTTGGTTAAACTGGGTTGGGATTTTGGCTTCACAATCCACAAGTGGGGCAAGTTGGTTAATAAGTCAGTTTTCTCTTCTGTCAAATGGGTAATAATAATAATACTAGTTTCGAGAGGTTGTTGGATACATACAAGGGGCTTAGGATAATACCACGCACATGGCAAGGGCTCAATAAAGAATAACATTGTTATCACTATTAATAATTTTACCAATGCGGATGTTGTTATTGTGTTTCTAGGTGCTGTTGAGTTGATTTTTGGTTAGCAGCCAAGAGCTTAGCTGCTCCCCTACCAGGGCTTCTTCCAAAGTGTCTGGAGACCTTAAAACGAGGGTAAGAAAAGAGGTATTGCTTCCAGGGATCCAACGCATACAAACTTGGGTTTATTTCAAACAAAATGTGTTTATTCCAAACAAAATGTGTTTAAGCAGTGCATACAAACTCGGGTTTATTCCAAACAAAATGTGTTTGAACTGAGAGAACAGCTGTAGACAAGTTCTCTCAGCCACACACTACTTACTGTAGGATAAGCACTGGACCACAAGGGAAGTTTGAACCACCAGGTTAATGGTTTGAACTCACCAGTCACACCTTGGGAACTCTATACAGGGTCCCTATGAGTCAGGACTGACTCAACAGTACTTAACGATGGTGATGAGGTGTCTCCTTTTATTGTTGTTAGGTGCCATCCAGTGGTTCTGACTCACAGGAATCTTATGCACAACAGAATGACACACTGCCGGGTCCTGTACCAACTTCACAATCATTGCTATGTTTGAGCCCATTGCTGCTGTCACTGGGCAATTCACCTCATTGGGAGTCTTCCTCTGTTTTGCACACCCTCCTCTTGACCAAGCATGATGTCTTTCACCACGGACTGGTCTAACCCTCCTGATAAAATGTTCGAAGTGTGAGAGGTTAAATCTTGACATCCTGACTTTTAAGGGGCACTCTGGCTGTACTTGCAACACAAACTTGTGGCATCCCATGGTACTTTTAAGATTCTTCTCCAATACTGTAATTCAAATCATCAATTCTCCTACAGTCTTCCTATTCATTCTCCAACTTTCACATGCATATAAGGATATTGAGAATACCATGGCTTGGGCTAGGGCTACTGTAGTCCTCAAAATGACATCTTGCACTTGCACACTTTAAAAAGTGGTCTTGTGCAGCAGATTTGCTTAATGCAATTTGTTGTTTGATCTCTTGACTGCTGCTTCCACGAGCATTGATGGTTTATCCAAGCAAAATGAAGCCTTTGACAACTTCAGCCTTTTCTTCATCTATCATAATGTTATTTATTGATCTAGTGTTTTCTTTACATTGAGGTGCAACCCATACCAAAGGCTGTGGTCTGATCTTCATCAGTAATTATTTGAAGTCCTCTCTTTGCTTTCAGCAGGCAAGGTGTATCTGCATATTGCAAGTTGTTACTAAGTCTATCTCTGATCCTGATGCCATGTTTTTCTTCATATAATAATCCAGCTTTTTGGATTATTTGCTCAGTATACAGATTGAGTAAGTATGGTAAAAGAATACAACTCTCATGCACACCTTTCCTGATTTAAAACCATATTCAGTATCCCCTTGTTCTGGTCAGATGACTGCCTCTTTGTCTATGTACAGGTTTCTCATGAGCACAATTAAGTGTTCCAGAATACCCATTCTCTGCAATATGGTCCATAGTTTGTCATGATCCACACAGCCTTTGTGTAGTCAAAGAAACCACCGCTTTCAGCCATGATCCATCTGATATCAGTGATGCTATCCTTCATTCCACATCCTTGTGGGAATCTGCCTTGAACCTCTGTCCGTTCCCTGTCAGTGTACTCTTAGTCTGTTTTGTTGTTGTTGTCAGGTGCCATGGAGTCAGAACCGACTTATAGCGACCCCATGCACAGCAGAACGAAACAATGTCCGATCCTGGTCCAACCTCACTACCGCTGCCACACTTGAGTCCATCAATGCTGCCACCTGGCCAAGCCATCTTGTTGGGGGTCTTCCTCTTTTTCTCTGACCCTCCATCTTACCAAGCATGATATCCTTCTCGGGCGACTGTTCCCTCCTGACAATATGTCCAAAGTACGAGAGCCGAAGTTTAGCCATCTTGGCCTCTAAGGAGCACTCTGGCTGCACTTCTTCCAAAAAAGTCTCTTTAGGGTGCCTTTAAAAATAAAAAAGGTCCAATCCTAATGGGTTGAGGGTATCTGCTGGACCAGCTGAATTCAAAGCAGAGAGCTCAACCAAGAAGGTATGGAGGTTGTTTTATGGGATCCCAAATTTTACTAGATTTTCTTGAAGGACCCAGGATGACCACAGGGATTATTTATTGTTGTTGCTGTTAAGTGCCAATGAGTCAGTTCCAACCCATAGAGACCCTGTATAGGGTTTCCAAGGAGCAGCTGGTAAACTTGAACCGATGACCTTGCGGTTCAAGGCAATTTTGCACTGCAGCGCATTAATCATAGCACCACACCAGGACTCCATGGGATTATTAGAAAAGTTTTAACAAAATGGAAAGTCACATTGGCGAGGAAAGTAGAGCCTTACCCCCATCTACCCTCCATCCCTGATCTTGCCTCTTCTGTCTTCTTTTTTCCCCCCAAACCAAGAACATTAAAAAAAACTCAAAAGAATATTTAAAAGGAACACCATTTGAATCCCTTGAGAATGCTAAAACTGCCTTTTTGAGGTGTCTTCATAAGTGTGTAAGCCTAGATGAAGGATATGTTGAAAACAATATTGTCACATCTTAGGCTTTTAAATAAAGGTTTATATGATTTATAGCAACATGTTTTTTTTCATGTTTTATTGTGAATTATATGATATTTTACATGAGAGAACTTTAGTTTTACATTCATTCCATCGTATATCGTCTCATTGCCATGGTTCCAATCCCCTCCATGCATCATCTACTGACCAAAGGGTATACCCTATAAACCCGCCCCCTATGCTCCCCGCCACCCCCATTCTTCAGGACCCAGTTCCTCTCCCCCTCTGGATCCAAAGTCCCCATCCGCTTCATCACTCCACGTCATTGTCTCTGCCTCCATCTCGTGCCTCGCTGCTTCTCTGGGTAGGGTGCCACTCTCGACTCTTCTCCGTTGATGGTCCCAGAGACCTCCGCTCCTAGACTGGAGAGTCAATAACTCCCTTCCTTGCTACCAAACGTCTACCTTTACATTTCCAACCCTCACAATCAGTCCTGATAACATTCACTATTGTGTCACAAGTGACCCTTCTGCATTTCATTTCATCAGCTCCTCCTATTGGATAGTACTCACTGGAGATTCTGCCTTCCTCCATGCCCCCTAGCTCTAGGTTCCCTCTTGAAAGCTTGTAAGCCAGTTACTTCTTGCGTTTGTGGTCCCTGCTTCCCCATTTGGGTATCCAATGTCCAAGTATAGCAACACATTTTTTTACTTAATCTTAGATGTGAGGGGAATTATGCCAAATGCTTCACTTGTATTTTTTTCATAAGTTCTTCACCTTCCAGCTCCTGAACAGTACAGGGCGTATAGGAGGCGTCCAGTGAGTTATTTTTGGCTTACTGACAAATCTCTGAGAAAGATTGCAATCAAATGTTGTACGGTTTTACAGATGAGGAAACTGAGGCTCAGACCAATGAAGTAAGTTACCTAGGATTGCAGGAAGTGGCAAGAATCAGAATTTGTATTCAACCTTGTCAGATCCATTGTAAAATAAAGGATAAAGAAGCTTAAAACATGGATGAACCTGGACGTCATTATGCTGAATGAAGTTAAGTACAAAAAGATCACGATTACTAGGAGTGGGAGGGGAGGGGAGGGGAGTTTAGGTCACTAACTGGAAGATTGTTGTTGTTAGGCGCCATCCAATCGGTTCCGACTCATAGCAACCCTGTATAGGGTTTCCAAGGAGCAGCTGGTGAATTTGAACCGCTGACCTTGTGGTTCAAATCAACCTTACGGTTCAGTGCGCCACATCAGGACTCCGACTGGAATAGAAAGAAAAAAACAAGAACCTGGACGTTTTGTTATGTTTGTTAAAGGCTGTGTACGCTTGGAGATCTGACAGGCAGTTCCGGCTCATTGGGGCGGGACATAGACTCTCAGGTGGCCTCACAGGACCACGTGTTCCCTTAAGGCGTGGCTTCCGGTGACCCCACCTCATTACGAAAGCCACGCCCTGAACTTCTCGCGCACGCTGAGACCGTTGAGGTGTTTTGGCCCATGGGCGCAGCCGTAGCCGCAGTCTTCTCTGGCGTCCGTAGCCTGGGAGCGGGGCGTCCGGAATCCTGGGCTAAGCTCCAAGATGTCGGAGAAGTGTGGAGAGAGTGAAGGCGCCCAGTCGGCCGACACGGTGACAGTCAGCCATGTCCAGGAGCTGATGCGGCGCAAGGAGGAGATCGAGGCGCAGATCAAGGCCAATTATGATGTGCTGGAGAGCGTGAGTGTGGGCGCTGGGGCGCCCCGTGGCCTCCTGCCCGGGCCCCCTAACCCGGGACGCCCAGGTTAGGAGGCCCAGGGCGCTGCAGTTGTGGTCTCTGTTGGCAGCAGGTTGGACACTTAGATAAGGTTAACACATAACTTGGAGCCCTTCCTGAGGGTGAGGTGCGGTCTTACGTGCTTTACATTTGTCAGCTCATCTAAGCCTCGCGCCAGTCCTTTGAGGTGGGTGTTACTGTTATTCCGCTTTGTAGGAGGGAGGAGACTGAGGCGTTCTTTAATTGAAACCTGCCTGAGGTCACAGAATTAATAAATTGCAGACAGAGGACTGAGGGGGTCACCCTGGACCGTTTACCATTGCTTTGTTAATGGTCTTCCATCAGGGCCCTTTAACTGTGATGAGCATTAGTGGAGCTAATACAGGTTCTTAAGTCTGTATGTGTGTGGTGTGGGTGCTTAGATAGATTCTACATTTTAACAAACTCCCAGGCTGTTCCGCTGCAGCTCGAAGGGTCAAACTTTGAATAGGGATTGTGTCTGTATTCTGTACTAAGGAACCCTGGCAGCTAGCTCCATGCTTAAGCAGCCAGTCGATGGTTTCAACCCACCAGCCGCTTTTGTGAAAAGATTTACAGCCTTGGAAGCCCTATGGGCAAGGCTACTATAGGGTCGTTGTGAGTCAGAGTCTATGGGAAAGGGATTTGATACTTGAGGAGTAAGACTCATTAGCTTTAAATTTAAAGGTAAGGAGGAAACTGAGGCCCAGAGTGTGGTACACCCTTGCTGGAGGTTGTACAGCTTGAGCTTGGAAGGGGTAGGGGTGGAGGTTGTTCACATGTCTGGCTGGCTCCAAACTTCATGCACTTTTTCCTATACTTCCACTCAGTGTAAAGCCAAGCCAAAGTTGCAGGGGTAGAGTACATCAAGTACCTATTATACCTGTACTAGATGGAGTGCATTTTAGGTGATGGGAGTAAGGTGGAAGGTCTTGTGGAGGCCAGGGTACCATTTTGTTGATGCTGACTGTCTGCCTAAAGGGTGCTGGGTTTTGTGTGCATTCAGTCATGCAATCTTCACAACTGCCCCATGAAGTCAGTGTGCCCCGTCAAGCTTCAAAGAGGGAGGTCGCTTGCTCAGAGTCACAAAGTGGGATTCAGACCTCAGGCCTGTTTAATCCAAAACCTGTGCTTTCAAGCATTGTGCCAGCAATTTCTCAAACTTTAGTTACTTTTCTCTAGGACCCTGCATCAACATGCCTCTTTGTTGTTGCTGTTATTAGGTGCCATCGAGTTGGTTCCAACTCACAGCAACCCTGTGTACAACAGAATGCAACATACCTGGTCATTGTGTACCATCCTCACAGTCATTCCTGTGTTAAAGCCCATTGTTAACAGCTACTGTGCCAATCCGTCCCTGTTTCTCTAGAGGGCTTGAGAATTCGTTTCAGTGACCATATAGAACTCCCAGTTAGGGGGTTGCTTAGGGAAGTTATCAGGCTCCAGTACAGGATCAGAAAATACCTAGGGCACAGTTGTTTCAGTCAGCTGCTGATAAATGCCCCCAGGACACACCAGAAGCCTCAGTCTGAAGGAACGTGGGTGAGTCAGCAAACCTAGCTCCCCTGCTCAAGCTCTATGAGCACGTTTCCTGCCCAAAGTCACTCAGGCTCCGGTTTCTGGTTCTGCTGTTGCTGTCTCCTCTGTCTCTCCTCGGGTATCACAGCTTTCCACCTCCAGGACAAGGATGGCCAATGTGCAGGGATCTCGGGCTCCAAAGGACTTGTTCTCCTGCTGGTTCTTTTTTTTTTTAATGTTTTATTGTGAATTATATGATAGTTTACATGGGAGAACTTTAGTTTTACATTCATTCCATCGTATATCATTT